ATAATAAAGGCTATATACCTGCGAATATCGTCATAACTCTGGTACAACACACAACACTAATTCTTATTTAATTAGGGAAAGAAATGGACAAATCCTTATAAAAATAGTGCACTGAGATATAATGAACACATTTTATGGCTTTATTTTTGTTTTTTGAGAATTTTATTCTTATATTAATTATAATTCGAAATTGGACTATGATAAAATAATCGATACAGTCGGCTATAACTTAATTTTCATAATTACTCATTACACAGAAACCTCAAATGATCAAAACAATTTTTATTTTTGCCTTCATTAAGTTAATTCTCGGTTGATTTTGTAGACAGCTAGTTCATCTAAAATTTTCTCTATTAACTCTATATATCTCATAATAAACAATAAAAATTTGTTTATATATATATAATATTGATGACGCATGCGTATGGGTACAAAAACCAAAAATAAAATTATACAGGAATAGTGTTTTCGGTGAGTGGTGAGCGGGGTGGGGTGAATGCGTTACGACAGTCTAGACAAGGCCATAGACGACGGGTACACGAAAAATTCATAAGTTCATAAGCAAACTGGCAACGTGGTGTTCATAAGTATTAAGTACGTTTTTAATGCTCTGTCCCTCAGACTTCTCAAAGCAACGTTGCCAGTTTGCTTATAAAATTATTGCTATATCGCAGGTCACGCAACCGAGTGATTACGAATAAGGATCCGTCACCGTATCATTTGTCCGCCAAGTTGCGTTCTCTCATACAGTGTATTATCTGTACTATACCTTTATTATATTTTGTTCGACTAGTTATTTGAATTTGTTGCTCTTACTAACCTGTCTCTATTGACTTCAGTACTCATTATCTCAAATATCTGTCCATCGAATTAAAAATAATTAATGAATTTTTCGTGTAGTTTTCAATTTATTGCTCTGGTGTGACTATTTTTATCATTTAATATTATTTCACGACCGCAGTCTTTTACCCGTCAGCTATAAAAATGCTTATAAGTTCCGAAGAACAGATTTAAAAGTTGTTATCGACCTATCATTTTCTTAATCAAATACTTTTCTTATTTATAAGTCAGTTAACTTTTTTTTTGGTTACACGTTGCTATATAAATAATTTCTAAAAAAAAATTATTTTTAGTTTTTCCTGAATTTAAGAATGGATTTTTACAATTATAATAAAATTTTATAATACGTCCAATTTAACAACTCTTTATTGGTTTTTTGGTCAAAGTAAATTATTTAAATTAATTAAGTTCTAAATGTTTCAATTGTTAAACCTTTTTTAATACCAAAAGTTACTTTGAAATGAATACTTTGACTTCTGTTTAAGTGATCAATTTCATAAAAATACAGAAACATATTGAGATTTTTTGATAAATTTTCTGTAAATAGTAATAACAAAATTTCCTAGTTGCATATTAATCTTAAGAATACAATGTTTTTAATTATCATATATTATTTTGTTTAATGATGTCAATTTCAAACTTGCAAGTTGAGCTAAAAGTTATAGTAATAAATTCAACTTTTTTTTCCTATTTACTTTTACAAAAATTAACTTTAAAAATGACATTTTGCACTGATTATTTTTCACATATTAATAATCAGTAATAACTTGAACATTTTTTTTTTTAAAGTATTGCATCAAGTCTTTAAATTTTTATACATATTAAAGTAAAGAAATATATTTATAAAACTCTATTGTTTTTATAATATCATCGTAAAATTTTCAATATTAAATATCAATTTCATAGTAAATTTAATTACTACAACTAGTATTTGAAATTTTAAAATTATTATTATTATTTAATTATTTAGTTCCGACGATCCGCTGCGGGTAACGTCATAGTATGACAGGCGGGTGTGGTGGTAGGATACGACGGCCGCTTATGGTACGTGGCCATGTCATGTATATATGTGTAATTTTATAAAATAATATTAATATTAGAATTTTAAATCAAAGAACTACTAATAAGGATATAATTAAGGAAATAAGAGTTGATGATGTTTCTGTAATTATTCACCAATTTCTTAGAATTAAACACTATCTACAGATTTGCATCAAAGCGTTTCTTTTAATCATTGGCAGATATGCAACCCATTTTTTGTGTGAGAACATTAAAGTTGTTTCCCTTAGTATATGCAAATACACACACGAGAAGTGTTTGGATCACTGACAGCTTCGCCCGAGCAATACACTGTAACTCATAATATAAGCGAGGCGCTGCAGATGTGTGTGAGCTGTTACGGTTCAGATGCAATCTTATGTGTCGGTTTTGGACTGGTAAATTATATATTCACAACTTTTTAATACAAAACATAGATTTATTACAATTCTACTGTTGGCGATTTTAAACAGTAAAATAGTTATAACCACCCAGCCAATTGAAAAAAAAATGTTATCGACTGGGGACCATTTAATGTATATAAGTATGTCTCTGATTAAATTTACCTCTGCTAGTCGGCAGAGACATCAACAAACTATCTTGTCGGTCTGGGACATTTGATATATTAACTTATTATTAACCCATTTTCGAAAAATTAAAATTTTTGAGGGTACAATTTATGATCCTTGACGTATCGTCGAAAGCAATAGTTTCAATGAGAGCTGAGAAAAAGTGGTAACAGACAAAAAAAAAACACATCATAATAAAATTAATATCTTCTCAGGTTCGCACCGAAGCTAAAAACTATCAATTTTAAATGCATATACATACATTTTTAAAACATATTTCGATTTTTTTTAAAGCACGTATCTGTCTATGTTTTATAGAGTTACAAGTCTCTAAGTCTACTAATAATATTATGGCAGCAAGTATAAGCCAGTGAGTGTCAGTTCTCTAAGATTTATATACTTATTTATTATTACTAATGTGGTTAAAAATATATTGTCGCTAAGATAGAAAATTGTAATAATTCAATAGAAGAATTTTCAAAACTGTGATTATGGTAAAAGTAAAAAAGGTGTAAAATTAAACAAAAATGCAAATTTTATCGTACGTTAATGGATTATTAAATAATATTGTTGTCATTTTTTTATTTTTCTCATGCGTTTATGTTTTGTTTTAAATACTTCAATAATACTTTTATTTCATGGTTTACATTATTCATTATGAATAAGCTTTTTAAAATAGTAATGTAATTACTAATTAGTATTATTAATTTGTTTGCTCTACACGTATAAATGGTAATTTAAAGTAGAACATTAAATATATAAATGTTTGTGAATTTTTAAAAGAACCATTTTTTAGCCCTTTTTTACAAGAAATCTTAACGGGTCGATAACAACTTTAGGGTCAGTTATAACAGTAGGGCCTGTACTTGTACAGGTCCGTCAGAATAAATGCATATTTTTAAATATTTATTTAATACTTTAAGCTATTAACTATTAATACTTCAAGTGGGGAAAGTGATCGGTGTGGATGGATGGCTCGTTAAAATGCTGATAAGATACAGTTTTAGTTGTAAACATGGTTTGAAGTGTGTGACAACTTTCGCAGTACGGCGGCACTGCGATAACGGACATTCCGTGGCCCCCCGTAACCTGATCTAACAACATGTGTTTTTTCCTTGTGGGATCATTTAAAAACAAAAGTTCATCAAATAAGCGAGTGATGAAAGAAGAACCGGCACAGAGTCTATTGCGCAATTGTCTTATTTCGAGAGCGCCTCGATTCCTGCATTGTGTCTTAAAGACGCCATATGACTGACATTATTATCAGAACTTAAATTTTGTTATGTTAAAAAAAAACTATGTTTCAGCATTTGTCGATATAATATATATATATTTTTTAATCCGATTACTTTTGGGGTAGTATCATTTTGGAAAACATGCGTTTGCTCTGACGGACCTGTAAGAGTTAAAATTATTTTAATACATCGAGTGGATAGAGAGAGCTCGTGTTGGTATGGGCACTTTGTGCGCGTTGAAATGAGAAAAGCATACAGTAAATATATAATTGGTTTGTTTGCGAATGAATTTTTTGAGCTTATTTTTGTAAGTATAGAAATTCAAAATTAGTTAAAAGAAAGTCAAGAACACTAATAGCCTCCCCGAAAATTTAAATCAATTTTGCGATCTCTAATCAAATTTGACCCAAATTATGCCCCTTAATTGTATTACACTACACGTCATTTATCTTCGAAAAAGTTGTAAAGAAAATTTCATGAAGATTGAGATTTCATTATGAAATGATTTATTACTAAGTATGGATAATTTTTCTTCCAATCTTTGCAAAATAATCAAAGAACGAATGGACAAATAAAATAATCTAATTAGAAAATATAAAATTAATATCCAGGGAGTGATCTAAAGGTAGAATAAATATTATACAGCAAATAACATTCATTTTTATATAGAAATATATTTTAAAAACAAGTTTACCCATCCCCAAAAATTTATCTCCCCACATCTAGAAAATAAAGAGTACTTCTATTCCAATTTACGATATGCAAATTTCATTAAATGACAATATATTAGTGAGACGACAAACGAAAAAAAGAAAATTGGACTTAAATATTTTGTAGACTTTCAATAAATAATGTGCATTAACATAATTAGAACACTCTTTAAAGGGAGCTTTATTTATTTAATAAAAATATATTTTATTTATATAAATATATTTTTTATAATATATTATAAAAAATATATAATAATACACATACATTTTTTGAATTTTTAAAGTCTTGCCAGGATTTTGCTTGGGGGAGGGTCTAAGGTTAGGAAAGGACCTTTTTAAACAATTATATACTCTTAACAGTGCCAAAAGAAATTCACCGTTCGTTATTGTAATAATTTACCCAAGGGGAGAGGGAGGCTATGGCCTCATTTTTCATAGCTACCTCAATAAGCTAAGTTTCACCAGCTACTAACTAGTAGTATCAGTTATAATATGAAGGTGTTTGTTTATATTATATCTAATTTTTAATTTGTTATTAATTGAAAATCTAAAACTACTATTGATAGAAAGAAGTGGCAAAATATTAAAAAAGTCAGTATTATTGGTAACAATTATTTTACACGTTTATTAAATAATTAAAATTTCAAAATTAACAATTGCAAAGTTTAACATTAATCTCACATTTTCATCAATATTTTATTTAAATGGTAATGGATGATAAAACAAAATCAAATAATAAATAACAATAGTTATACACGTTTAGTATCTACTACAAGTCTACGTTGTTTTTCAATATTGGTATTCACATGTCTGATTAAACCCTATAAAACATAACAATACTAAGTTAATTTTACTAGATACTAGGTATCTAAATGAATAGACAAAAATTTTAAAGTTAAATAAAAAAAAAATCATCAATAGTCTATTACTTTTAAAAATTAATTTGTATAAAATGTGTACTTATTTGAAAGTTATGATACAGTTAAATTATTATGTAGTATACAATTTTGATTACTAAATTATAATACTTAATAAATTTATTACTATCATATTTTACAAAAAAATTATAATAATTTCATTAATTTATTTAAAATGAAATGATAAACACTATTTAAATTAAAAATATATTTAATACTAAAAAATATAAATACATAACAAAAAATACTAAAAAATTGTGTATACGTATTATAGGAACAATGTCATTGTTATGTTACCATCAGTATTAAAAATATACCGACTGAAATAAACACTCATCAACTTATTTGGGTTTCTCAATAGCAGAACCTTGACACAGAATTAATATGGTTCGTTGTTGATGAAACCTTGATATTATTGATGATAAACATTTTTATTCGGAATATAATTTATGACAAAATTCATACATCAATTATTGATTATGAAAAAAAGCAATGAAATAACCAATATATATATATATATATATATATAAAAAAATTCTTTTAGAATAAATATATTTTTAAGTAATCTATTATTAATCAAAATAGTACAAATGGCACAACAAAAAAGTATATTTCCTCCTAGTCAAGAAAATTATGATTAATAATTTTTGTTTTTAAACTTAACTAAAGAGCTCCATTCTAAAAATACTTTTGATTTACACTTTACACTTTTTTTCTCAATTGTGCTTTTACTATAAACACATTCAATAAAAATATGTTTTATGTTATTTCCATTTAAAAGATAAAACCTAATTCTAAATCATTTAAATTTAACAGACAAGACATGCATAATAAATTACAATTATGATTTCAACTATCAATATTTTTTCTCAAATCTAAATATTATATTAACTATAGCACATTTTAATATGCTAATAATAGTTGGAAATAAATACTATACAGCCTGGTGATGTTGTGACTAACAATATGGAAATAATGATACTGTTATTTCAGGAAGTATAACTGAATAAATAAAGTACAACATATTAGAATAATTCATAAGTTTAACAATCTATCATAATACCTGTTAACACCTAATTGCTAAAGTATAAATATTTTAATCTGCCAAAATTTTAATATTAGTTCTTTATGAAGAGTTTTTTATTGATAATGTTGGTGTTTTTAATTTTTTTTTCTCCTGGGTGAGTAAACTTTCAATCAATTTTTGTAATGTCTGCAAAAATAATAATAATAATAATAATAAAAAAAATCTGTTTCATCGCATGTAATTGAATTATACTTAATATTTGATAAGTACAAGAATTAATTTCAGTTAATATATTTTTTGCAAACACTAAAAAATTATTAAAAGTGAAATCAAAAGAATTTAATAATAAATTATACAACAATATAATAAGATTTTGATATTATTTTATTGTATCAACGTCCTTAAATTAATGTCTAGTAAGTTTAGAATTAAATATAAAATAAACAATAATTTACTATAATTTTAGATTTGCCTAATTTTATACTTGGATTAAACATTCAATAACTAATTGTGTTGTTGTAAAGTATCTATTAATTTCATTAATTCATTCCAAATAAATTAATATTAAATAATTTTAAATAATTAAAAGAATGAAAATTAATAATACGATTTTATATCCAATTAAGTAGTTTGGTATTAATTTAACAAAGAAATGCAAAATTTATCAAATTTAAACATTTTTATATTAAATAATAATAGTTTTAATTGTTTTTATATTAATAACTCTCATTTAATTGAAGACTATGGCTATCTAAGAAGTAGGTTACAAAAAATTATGTGTAATGAGTTAGGTTATTAGTTTATCATTTCATAGAAGTATTTATTTAAATTAAGTATGAAACTAAAATATTAAATGGAGCTGACAGTTTCATGAATGCATATGATATGGTAAATTTCATACTACAGACTTATCTTGGTAAATTATCATATATATTTTATTTATTAGAGATAATTATTCATAAAATAAGAAATTTACCTGAGGTTTGCAATGTTCCTCTAACCAGCTGAACACACAAGCAGAAAGTTCGGTGAAATTATTTACATTTATATTGCAAAATGTAAAAAATAACTCGTCTATAATATTCTGAAACTAAAAAAAAAAATTAATTACTTACAAAATTATAGGAATCATAACCTATTTAAAATTACTTTTATAATTTGCCTATTCTATTATCCTTATATGCAATTTTTTAAAACATAAATACTCAAAGCTTGTGGTTTATAGTCCAATGGAGGATTTGGTATGTTTTAAACTTATATCATATAAAATTTTTTTACCATAAATGAAGAATTTCATATATTTTATAAGTTAATCATATAATTTTAATCAAGTAATTTTTACTTAAATTAAAAGATAAAGATAGCATAACATATAAATTATGACATAAAGAGCACCATTTAAAATTTGGATCATGGACTTCAATTCAATATATATTAAAATTAATGCAAATAAAACAATTACTGAATACAAAAAAAAAAAAAAAAATACTGTTCAATTTACATTTACATAAATCTGTTTTTTTTTATCATTGATAATATATTTTTAAAAATAAATATATCAAACCATTAAAAATTTTTCTTCATCTGGTATCCTAGTTTCTACATGACCCATTGGAATTTGTTGTGCTTTTACCATCTGTTCATAATTATTTTGCATAATTCGTAAAGCAACTACTTCTTTACGAAGAGCATTTCGTTCTTCTTCCAATTTCTTTTTTTGTAATAATAAGTACTAAAGAGTAATTTTTTATAGATGAAACTTTGTTTAAAGTTTACTAATGATGAAGACATACTTGTATATAGTCAATAGATTTTTGTAAAACTGTAGCTTTACTTAATTTATAACCACTACTATCTGTCTGATGACAAGTAGGAACTAAATCTTGAAGACAATCATAGCCTTTTTTAATTGCATCACGACGTTTTTGTTCTGCTTGTGTATGTGCTTCTCTACGCTTCTCTTTATAGTTATTAGGTGAGCTTTTTTCTTCACTATCATCATCTTCTATGAACAATTTACATATACACATACATACAATGAAAATATATAATAAGATGTTTCACTAAGTTTTGACATCTTTAATGATTTATGATGCAGCAAATATTTAGAATTACGTTTTTTTTTAAAATAATTTTTACAGTTTTGGACTATGTAAAAAACATATTTTTTATTATTTGTTTTTAATAGTAAAATAAATAAAACTAATTTTTTTTTAATTTTATAATAGAATATACTAACCGGTTCTTAGTAACAGAGTTTAATATTTAATAATTGTTTAAAATTTTATATAATATTTTGATTTTTGAATCAAAGTATTTAATAAGGAAACAAAAGCCTATTTTTTAGAATCAAAAAAAACTCTATGATATATCAAGTATAAATATTGCAAAAGACTGGAAACTTGTTCTAAAATTGTTATTATCACATTAATCAATTTTGTAAGAAAATAGTTAAAAACTAGCCCTTAAATATTTTGTTAAAAATTTTAAAATAAAAATTTTTTTTATTATTAAATACAAATAATAAAAAATGATTTTAATGTAGTCATTGAATGAATTAATTATTTTTATAAAAATTACAATGAAATAGTTATTGTATCAAAAATTTTAGTAGTCAGCTAGATCTTTTCAATTCTGTACATAAGAAATTAGTATTACAAAGAAACAAAATTTGATTAACAATTTCATAAAATAAAAATGTATTTTGTTTACCATGGCCACTACTACTGCTATGATTTCCAGTGTGCAAAGAACTACCACTGCTTGAACGGCTAAAAGGATTAGGATTACGATTTGGACTAGTTGGTTCAACTTTCATATCTAAAATAATAATAATTAACATGTTACAACTGATTAAAAAAATATATATTCAATAATTATAATATAGTGGGCCATAGATATAAATTGTGTGACTTACATTTTTTTATATGATTGCATAAAAATGATTTTTTTTCTAGAGATTTAATTAATCAATTGTTATACAAAAACTAATAACTGATATTGATATGATTTTTTACATTATATTTGCTAAGTATTAATTCATATTATTTTGATATAAAAATAAATGTAACGTCTGACTCACCATCACTATCTCTGGAATCCATGATTTAACACCAAGTAAAATAAAAATCTACAAAAAATAATTTTATTTTGTAATCTAATGAATTTAGGATATGGGAAGACTATCACAAGTAGTTGGGATAAAGGCGAGGGAGAAGAAGAAGACAACCATACAATGCTAGAAAAATATTTTAACATTTAAAATATAAATTAAGAAAAAAAAATTTTTATAGAGTTTTTTATTTTATATTTTATAATAATATATAAAAATACATATAATTTCAACATATTTGTTCTTTAATAAAAATGTAATCGACAAATAAAATATATTGATTAAATTTATTCTGTAACTATTAAATATTACTTAGATAAATCAATTGAATTTAGAAGTATAATTTAAAAAAATTGTGTATAATACCTATTATACAATTTTGTAAATATAACACTATTTGAACAAAGAATACTTACAAATTTTATGTTTCAATATAAAATAGTTAAATGAAACTAATTGGTTAAAATAAGTAATAACAATTAATTGCTTGCGTCGATTAGAATTAAGACTACGATATCCTAACAATTAGTATTGAAAGAATACCATTATCAATTAATTGATATGGAGATAACCGGTTAATACAATGAAGTATTTAACATAAACGTATAGCTGTTGATCATAACCAGTCGATGTAGTGTTGCCGCAATAATTGTAAAATTGTAATTTAGTATATTTAAAATGGTAATTTATATTTGACTGTTAACAGATAATATTTTTTTAGAATTATCTTAAATTCTACATTTTTAAAAATTGTTATTTTTTAGTTTTTTTTCAATTTGCAATTAATAAATACAATATTAACGTAAAATATAATTCAAAAATAATTTCTCTCCATCTAAATGATTATATAACACTCAACTGATATTTTAATTATTTTAACCGTTGGTACTCAACAAGTTTATCTATCCATGTTAGCTAATTATTTGTTTCTAATTATTCTTAATTTAAAAACTATTTTACAATAAGCCCTTTTCCAAAAGAATTTTTTTTATCAAATTTAAATTATAACATAAGACTTATTTTTTTGTCGTTGATACTCAAATATATTAATATTATTTTATAGAGGTTATTATTAAATTAATCATTTTTATATTTTTGTAAAGTTAAATAGTGATTGCTGTATCTACAGATTATGTATACATGTATTTTTATGTACAGTAAGCATTTCGTTTAATAAATCACGTTTAATACAAGGCGTTACTATTATTATTATTTTTAATTTTATTATTTTTTATTATTATTATTATTTTTGTTAGTTATTTCTAGCTTGATAGTGGAAGGCAAATAGAAACCTTAGTATTATTCTACTATAAATCTTAGTAATTACAAAATAGCTACTGTCAAAGGTTAGTAAAGATTGAAAAGAAATTAAATTAAAACGATAATGTCAGTTTCGTTGTGCGTTGGTGGTTGTCGACAGTAACGTCATTGCATTAGATAAAAACGTATATCTATCTTCATCAATTTTGTATTTTAAAGTACTTAATCACTCTTACAGACACGTTTAAATATCACGCTTTTCTATTAGCGATTATATTTTTATCTTTGACTAATCTCAATTGTTCTGTTAAATATTTTATTCTTAGACAGTTATTATTTGAAATTTAAAAAATATCCTGAATTAATAATTAATGATAAATAATTTTTATTAGTCATTATTTGTGTTAAAAATTAAGATTTGTTAGGTTTATTATTTAAGTTTAATAAATAAGGTTAGGAATCCTGATTCTGGGTTGATAAAAAAGTTTAAATTACTGAAATGTAAAAATTCAAAACTCGTCGGAGTTATGTCATTATTTTACCTAGTAATTTTGTTTAGAATTTATCCATGCATTTTTAAAATGATTAAAACAACAAAGTTTTATAAAAAAAAATTAAACAATATTTATTAAGTAATAAAAATTTTATACACAAATTAAAATATTTTGTGCAGACAGACACGGTTAATAATTTACAACTTTATTTTACTTAATAGAGTATTTGAACTTATTTTTAGATACAATTTTTACAATGATTTTAAATATAATCTAATCAGTATTCAAATAGATTTTATTGGTATTTTTCTTGTCATTTATGGCAAATTAAGTATTAGGCCTGACAATTGGTCTAATATACTAATTAATATCCACCATTGTTTCCTTGAGGAGCGGCGTATGATTGTTTCACTGAAGATGGATAGCCAGAAGGTGAGGGGTAAGCATTTTGAGATGGAGTTGGATAGCTGCTCTGAGATGGAGATGGATAGCTGCTTGGAGATGGTGCTGAGTAGCTGCTTTGTGATGGAGCTGAATAACTTCCTTTCACACCAGATGCTGATGGATAATTTCCTTGCCCACCATAACCTCCTTGAATTGGTGAAGAGTAACCTCCTTGGGAACCAGAGGCCGAAGGGTATCCTGCAGTTGAGGGGTAACCTTGGGAGCCCGAAGCTGAAGGATATCCTGCTGTTGAGGGGTAACCTTGAGATCCAGAAGCAGAAGGGTAACCTTGGGATCCAGATGCAGAAGGATAACCTTGGGGTCCTATAGCTGATGGGAATCCAGCTGTTGTAGGATAACCTTGGGATCCTGATGGGCTTGATCCTGATGGGTATGATCCTGATGGGTATGATCCGGATGGGTATGATCCTTGAGAACCAGAAGCTGATGGATATCTTCCAGCCGATGGACCAGATGGTTGTGGCTTGGCTTCACCTTCGTAGGTGATTTGGGCATTGTATCCACTTTCATCAGCAACATAGGTTACACGTTGGTTGCGGCCGTCTGGTAACAAAACGCTGTATTCACCAGTTACTCTCTTGCCGTCGCTATTGGCTTGGTGTTTGAAGTCAGTGTAAGTTGGAGCATCTTTCACTTCATAAGCGAAGTTGAAAGGCTCTGGCTATAAATAAAAATTGAAGCGTTAGGTATGATTTTACATTGTTATAAAATAGTGCAATTTATTTTTTAAAATAATGAAAAAATTTTATGAGAAAACTGTAACAAGTTGAATTTTACAAATTTGTAAATTTAGTTTGCTGTACTGTAACAAATTTATTAGCTCAAAATTTAAGTGTAGAGGTTTCTTGTNTGTGGGTTATATCTTACAACACACAATTATTTAAATGGCGGTAGACTTTTATTAAACAAAATTATAACACTAAAATAGACGTATAAACACTAAAAGAAAATATATGTATATACAGTAAGGAAAAATAAAATAATCGAAGTAAACATAATACACGATGACAACAGCGGCGGGGTGTAGCGGTCGTGTAGCGTATCGCGGACTAGACAGTCTGAACTGAACTAACTGAACTGACTGATTCTTCCGATATATATATAGCTCCGATAAGGCTCTCGCTAATTCTAGAATATTCTATACCCGCGTAGGTTATCTTATGGCGTTATCGAAGTTTCTCGAAGGTTTTTGATAACGAGAACATTCGAGAATATTCGTTGCGTATGTTTTGGTCGCTACATCACTCCCCTACCAGTGACGGAGTCAAGCGGAGCCTACTTGAAGACGGTCTGGAAAATGGACTCTTCTTCCGGAACGTGTCCTTTGATCCTCCCTGGGAATGGTAATGGGTGTATGTGTCTGGATCTTTTTCGGAATANAGTGATTTATCCGACAACAGCTACAAGATCAGCTTAGCCTAAAAAGGTTATTAGAAACTAGCATTCCTACTGTGTCACATTATGCCCTATAATCGATATGAATTTTATCACGATAACGATACTTGAAGTCGCTAATTATCATTTTTTATCATGCATTTGTTATGACTTTATAAATTAGACACGAATTGAGTCAAATTAGAGATTTAGCTAATTGTTAAAACTTTGTGGTATTACTTTTAATGAGCAAATCAAATATTTTTATAAATATATTGCAATATTCTACTTTATCTAACTTTGTTGAATAAAAAAACGCAATTAATAATTTAATAAAATATTCATCTTATAAAGTTTAATTAATCTGTATTATGTCGAAATCTTATTAAGTAATATTTGATTGTTGTATTATCGTTTTTTTTACACCCCACGACGTAAGTTCTGAGTTTCATTCTCTTGTATAATCTTACATAATGATTATTAAAGTAGGTGGAGTAACAAATTAATGTACATGCGGCTATTTTCTTTCATTACATTTAATTATAACTCTTAATATAAATAATTGGTGATTATTAGACCAACTATATTAATTGTTTTAATTAAATAATATATATAAAATTTGTAAAGCTTGTATTTTGAGTTTTGGAAAATTAATTAAAATTATATAATATTATCTAATGTTTATATATTTTTATCAGCCTAATAGAAGTGAAAAAAATGATTAAATTTCAAAAGTTATCTACATTATAAGATGTTTTATACTATAATTTTAAAGTTCATTATTTTTACTTATTTCTAGCGAAAAAAAAAAAAATACTTAATAAAAATAATATATTATTGCGCAAAATAGTGAAGGCTACATTCATCTTCATTTTTTTATACTGTCATGTTTTATGTTCTCTCCTTCTTAAAAATTACGTTAATGATTATTTAGGTAATAGGTAATATTATTGAGTAAGTGACTCGCTATTTACTAAGCAGGTTCACCTAGATTATACTCGTTTACATGTTTTAATAAAAATGCTTAAGGTTGGTAAGTTTTTATTGTAAAATATAAAAACCCATTCTAGTATTCTATTTATCATTTTGAAATTTCGATTGATCATTTGTTATCCTAAAAACGTTTTTAAATAAAAATATGTTGTTAGTAGTGTAAACAGGTTATTTTTGTATTACTACAGTGTTTAATTTAATGGTCTTTCTTAGAATTAAATAAGGTTTTCAATTGAAATAGTAAAATTAGTGACTTCTTTTTTTTTTGCAATATTAAACGAAATTTAAAAACAAAATACTTCAGAGCTTCCTTCCGATCCGGTATCGGCTGCTGGTCCTGGACGTTTAATTCCATAATCGTTGGATGGGCTAGCTCCAATACCAACACCACCGTATCCTTGGTTGCCGGATGGGGCGCTGTATTGAGCGTAGGCAATGGAAACTAAGAGCAAAGCGGCGACGATTGCCTGGAACAATTTATAAAACAGATTAGGCACTAGGTTAATACTGATTACTTCCATAAATATAAATTAATTAACATTGACATAAAATTAACATTAATAAAACGATAAATTAGTAGCTAAAAAAAATATCCCCTCTCAATTCATTTTTCATTTTATTATCTTAAAAAAGATACATTGATGATGTGAAAAATAAATCTAATAATGCATATACACCATAGTCAAGTATTAACTGTTTTACTATTTGCAGCATATTGAGTCGTTTACACGTATATCATTTGGGTGTCTATTTCAAAGAGATTTTAACGTTGGGGACGAAGCGTAACGAATAAAAGACATATTAATTGTATACTTTGTTTATACTTAAATTGTTCATTTTTTTATAAATTATGTTTACGAGTATTTAATTATGAATCTGATTATTTATGATTGATAGTATGTTAATTAGAGTAATATTCTATAGATAGTATCCGTAAAAAGTTTTGAATAAATACATAGTTACAGTAAAAGTAGATGTGGCATTGATACCATATTAAAACAGGAAGCTTAGTATGTATAATACTAAAAAATAATTTATTCAATTTTTATTTGATTAGGGCTGACTGTTTTTTTTTAGGAATGAGATAAATAAAAAAGTGAGCAACGAAAAAAATGTCTTCAATTAAACGTGGGATTCCTGAATACATGGAGAGTCTAGGACATAGGTCAAGTGTCTCACTTGACATAACCCCTGATTAATACTTTTACCGAAAACTAATTTCACATATTTTACTAATCACATACAAAGAATTAATTTTCAAGATAATTCATTGTTTGGAAAAATTAACAACATTTGAATTACTAAATAGAAAAAAAATGTTGTTAATTGTCTACAAAATTTGAACAAATAATATAAATATAAACAATGAACTATATAATTGATAAATATTAATTTATATGAGTGTTACAATAGATTGTGATTTATTAAATACTTTGGAATTAAATTTATAAATATGTTGTATAAAAAAGGCGTAATAAAGTAATGAATGTAATTACGTGGTTGGATCCCATTGTTTGGATTTAACCTACGTGAAACAGATCCGTGACGTTAAAGGACATTGACAATCGCGAGGTCGTCTCTTGATTTGTATTTTATAAAGACCTGTTAAAACTCCAATAACTGTTCTAAGGTCAGTCGAGTTCTTAAGTTGGGTTAAGTATCGTTCTACATGCGTAGATGATATATATATTAATTTAAAGGAAGTTGTAGTATATTTTTTAATAAAATGTTTAAATATTTTGAAATTATCAGCGACAACTTTAAACCTCTGAAAGAGTTTTTAACATTGAAACATATATACGAACGATTAATATTGAAATTATGTACTTCGTATTTTATTTAAAAAATTGTTTTTTTTTTTGGCTTTCATGATTTTTTCAATAAGAATTATTAATTTCTATAATAATCTATCGTGTTTTTTTTTATAGAATGTTATTGTAGTTGAATTTATCGTTAAATTTTGTATTATTTCAGAAATAAATTAATTTTAGAAAATTTTTTTAGATTGTTATAAATTTAAGGATGAGTCTTTTGAGAAAAATAACTTAAGAACTTTACTAAAGTGTATTGATTACTTAGAATTTACTTGTAATAAAGTTTAAAGTTCGACTAAGCCTGAGTTATTATAGAAAAATGTTCAGTTTTTTTTTGTAATAAAAATTAATTTCTTTTAAATATAATGCAAACCTATGGTAACATTATTGATTTTAATGAAACATTTCAAGTATTGCACTTATTCTTTTGCATAATACATTAACAGGTTTCATACATAAAATAGGACAGGATGGTCACGAAGTTAGGCGATGCATGTGTAGGTTCGAGTGAAAACTTTATCGTTTGTTTTTTGTTGGACCGTTAAAATATTTACTCATTTAACTCAATACTATAAATTTAAGTATTTCAAAAATTGTTTAATTTAATCGCAACTTTGTAAGCAATTACACCGATCATGTGATTGATATGCAAAATTTATCATGTGTTTTTCATCTCTATTTTAGAATACTCTGATAATACAATTTAAACGAAAATATTAATAATTTTTATAATAAACTTGTACATGTGTAAACATTTCTCTAAATATCCGCTATCATAAATATTTTTAAAACGTTTCTAGTACGTTAATAATAACAACGGTTGAAATGTTTTAATTAGAATAAATTTTAAACATTAGGCTGTTTTTCGCCTAACACAAATACAAAGACTTTTGTATTTAAAGTAACTAACTTTTGTGGTAATCATTGGAGTTTTTCATATAAAATTTTTTTATTTTTTTTATTAGAAAATATACAATCTGTACCTACATTAGTACAATAAGCATATGGTTTGATTTAACAAATAATAATTTACAAATGATATATATATAAATATGTACATTATTGGAGAAACCATCCAGTGATGGAGCTCCAGTAAATTTAATGAAGAAAAATAAAAACGATCAATATTTTTATGACCAAGTTTTAACTATAGTGCTATTAAAGTATAATCTATTATTACTATAGGTAATAGTGCAACGAGATTATTATAAAACAATCGTACTAAAAATTAGTTCTTAAAATTTAATATTAATACGTTATGTGTGTTAAACAAGACTCAATAATATTTTAGCTTACCTTTTGAGCATACATGACGATTGATGTGTCTGTGTAAGTAATAATAACTTAAAAGAGTACCACGATTTCGGGATCGCGATGAATAAATAAACAGTGTACACTTCTCGGCGATGAAGAAGCGAAACGTCGGTTATAATGTGTACTTAATGAAATATTACAATTATTATGTGTTACTCCAGTCGACGGCACTAGCACAAATGATTTGTGATGATCGCGAACGTCAGTCTTATATAGGTAGTCTTGCCGACCGGAGTAAAAAGTATTCACTGGAATTAGCATACACCGCGCGACTTCATGTCCAAGTCGTACGGATAAAAAACGACCTACATGGCATAGCGGTGCGGGACACTCGGTGGCTCATCTGTATCAGCCCCATTCATCGTTTTTGATTCCACTACGATGATGCAACCTCTGCTGTTGCACACAGAAAACCCATGCCAAGTCGAGTAGGAGGTCAAGAGTCATTGCCGCGGGCTACGTCGTGATCTTCCTAGTAAACGATTGGTTGTGTTTATCGCAACGGAAACACATGCACACCGACGACGACGTTACGTTGTAGGGGTTTTGCGGGCAAAAATCACTCAGAGAGCAGCAAGTACATGGGCAGAGGTAAACGCATCGTGATTCATACACTCATTCCGACTAAGAACGTTATTAAGAGGATACGCCAACATGGCTTAGGTTTTCCGAAGGTGAAACGACAATATCACACGATCCGTCGACTGTGATTATTGATTCGATTGGAAAATGTGCACACGGCTATTTTTTTATCGTAATAATGTTTTACACGTCTCGTCCTCACACATTTCGTTCTGCCTTGGGACCCTTTCATTGAGTTAAACGCACACAGTTTCACCGCGAACATGTCCATTTTAATTAGCAGATTTTGTTATTTCATGCACATTGCAGTTAAATTGTTGCCGGCAACACCTTAGATGTTCCGGGCAAGTAAATTTCAAGAAGGGATGTATTTTTGATCAGCCGAACAGTGTCGGTCAGATGGCAGAGGGTTAGATCACGTTCCATTGAAATACCTTTGTTGACATTTTTCTACAATTTCAGTAAAAATAACAAAATTTTGGAAACTTTATATGTACATAACTCAAAAGTTCATAACTATTATGGAAAAATTAAACTTACAAATTTTGAAGATTGAATTTTGAGTTTTGGTGGCTATCATCTCCAAGACTTTTATCTACACTATGCCCACATATAAATATGTATCTATGTCAATTCAACGGGGTACTATTTTAAAATAAATTTAAGGTTTTAAATAGGTTAATTAGAACAAAATCATTAATACGTTATTTATAAGCTATTACATATTATAGCTTTATATTAATATAGACAGATATAATTTTGGAGTACAGAACTTACAACATTTTTTTTCATAAGGGATTTTTTTCATTCTCTCCCGTTATAAAATTATTTGATTGCCACTGGAGCAGAAGCAGCTGAAATCCCTTGAAATTCAGGATTTTCTTTTTTATATTATAATTTGAATATTGATTTAAACAGTACATATGACAGGGAATATTGACTATAACGGTCAAATATCGACGAATAGATATCGTGTCAAATATTTTGTTAAGTATTTTGTTATAAACATAAAATAAAAATACTTTAAAAAAGAACTAATTAAATTGACTTATTTTGTTCGACAAGCATAATAATGTTACATAACGAAAAATATTTGATAATACATAAAATCCATTTAATAATTGTTTTAAATTTTGTACTATGGGTGATACGTAAAAAACTGCTTTAAGAGCTTTTTTCTATAAATGGTATTGACTAGTAGATTATAATTCTGCACGGCAAAAAAATTTAAATTAATAATCAAATGTTAGATAATTCATTGCAGTTTCCTTCAAACATCCAAATAAAGATTAGACCTTAATTATTATTTATATGATTTTTTTATTAGCTGATTTAATTCAAACTATAATAAGTGTAGTATGAACATAAAAATGCAACAATTGAATGCACGACTCCTCAACTACCTAATTAATAAAAATAAAAATTTAATCACAGATTTCTTGTTTCAATGTAGAAATTCAGATGACGGAAGGAAGCGTTTAATAATTTTTTTAATTTTCTTTAAGAGTACTTTGTGTAGACTTATTTGGAATACATTTTATAAAGACTATTTTAAAATCTTTCAGTCTTTTTAACTTTGATGATATTTGTAAATAAATTTTAAAGTCAGCGTCTAGTCGTCCAGTTTCAAGGTTATCTGATATGAAAAATTGAAGTACAGGAAACGGAAACTCATTATCAGTGTAATATCTTTTTACTACACGTGATATATCCGTATTAACGCCATTATTATGAAATTTAAATAAAATGGAATTAAACTATGTTTGTTGATTTATCACATGGTCTAACTATTGATTCGAAGAGAATGTTATAGTTTTTATTAGAAAACGTGTCACCGTGGGATTTTTTATGTCATAATCAAGTTACCTGGATATTTTTAATGAAATTTCTATAAAAACAACCGTATTTAAATATATTTATTAGGTAACGATATAGAAATAATGTAATAATAACACATGATATTTTTTCAATAAATAATTTGTTTTTCTAATCGCTGGCATATATCTTCTAATGCCCATAAATCTCTAAGAATATTAATAATAAAAAATGTCAATTATGACGTTATCAGAATACACCTAAGAGGCAATATATCTGATGTATGCCGTTCAATCAAAGGAAACATGCAAGAACATTAGAGACGTGCCATCAATTTTTAATTGCAAGGTCACATGGAAATTCATACAGTGAAAGGTTAAAATTATTATTGACAGGAAAACTGCCCCGGGAATAAGGAGAAGGACGCGATTCTTAGACAAAACAATAAGACTAAAACAGTTAATAATCGTTATTAACTTATTAGTTCTAGAACTGTTACAATACATGTAAACAATACAAATTTACATTCGTATCTCGGAGTACTATTTTTAATTACTATTTTCATTGCTTAGAAGTAGCAGAGCTAGAAGGTGATTACAGTTTAATTTATCGCTGTCAAGACAAGTGTTTACGCGATTGTAAGTTTGCCAAAAAACACGGTAAGCCAAAGTTAAATTTCTACTGCAACGTTTATTTTACCATCAAGTCGTATCGTCCTGAGCTATTCAATTGTAATAATTAATTATTTTTATGGCGATAAAAATGCCTAAATGTCACGAACTTGCACAAGAAATTAATGTATAGGTATAGAAACTTTTGGAAGGTGTGGCACTCGGTTGCCTACAATAGTTTGTGAATTTTGAACGATTGTTGTTCAGCTCTACCGTTTCGCCTTTGGAACGATTTATAAATATGCAAATACATACGATAATTACAAATTTGAATAACGCCAATACATAATGATCGGTTTTAAGTGATGCAATTGCTCACCAGTGTGGTCTTAAGCCCGTCAATATCAATTAGACATAGCCCCGATACACATTATTATATGGTTGATGGGAACACGATTGTCCAACCACGCCTGGTCGAAATTCGTTTTTAGATTTTTTTACTGGAATCCCATGAAAATAAGTAAACACGATCGTTATTAGCTAGTGACCTTATAAGTCGCAGTAGGTGTGACCTAAAACAATATCGTCCAAAAGCTAACACGCGTAACGTATTATACAATTGAAAACATCTACTCCTAATCAAATACAAAAAATGAATAAATATTTGTACGAATAGAATACGAGTAGCATAACACGGAGAACATAAAAGGAGTAATCAGGTTTTTTTTCGATATGACTACATTAGTTTATTTGACAAAAAAAAATCAAACGATTTGAGATTGAATAAATCTCGTTACTAATTTCGTCAAAAAAAAACACATTGACTTTTCGAAAACTCGAATTATTATTATTATAATATGATTTATTGCGACTGTCGATAGTTATTGATAAACAGCGACACGGACATCGTCTACCGTTCTGTTTATGGCAAAATATTTACCCTGTGGTGGTCACTCGTGGAGTTCGTTATCCTTCAAGGTCGACTTTGGGGGCGTTTTTATAACGTTTGCCACGTTAGAACAATTAGCGATTAAATAAAAAACAACTCGGGTTGTTGTGCTTAGTAATAATAAAACATGATTATCGCGGTAAAAACATCTAAATTCAATATTAATAAATCAAACAGTTCCTGTCCGCGCAAATGAGAGTAATTTTTGTTTTTCAGTAACCTACGCGTGATCTAATACTTCACACCTAAAAATATAATTTCCCATTTGATCCACGCAATCAAATCGTTTATCTAAATGCACGTATCTTTGGTTACGATTTAAGCTTTAATCTTTCGACGTCATTTTACGTCATTTGGTAAGAAATTAATTCCACTTGACGAGTTAATTTCAAACTGGGTACAATTAATCTCGTTAGAAAAACGGTTTGGCTGAACTGCATTCCTCGGCTGTTAGAATTTGGTAATTCCTTTGTGTGAACATTTTGTTTGTGATACTTGTTGTCCGTTTGTTATTTAAATTTTATATAATACCTACTCGTGGTGCGTAAACAACGTGGAAAAAAATTGAATTCAACACCATTGCCGCCGACCGTTTTAGAAATAAGTCGACTGCCGACCGGGTTACCGATTGAATTTTTCATCATATGTATTGTATAACTCTAAGTAGGACATGGTAAAAATCAAAGGACGAGTTGAGGATAAAATTATATAATTCACGCCGAACATTATTAAAAAAAAAAAAAATGTATATATATATATTTGTAGTAAACCGTCTCCTTTCCACGTGTGTAATAACATTTTAAATAAACGCGATACAGTATCGTTTTACCGATAGCATCTAATACTGGAAAAAAAATCCTATACAAGTTTTTGTCATATTAACTAGTGATTGATTGGTCTTGAGAATGCAAAAAATATCTTTAATGATCAACGTCTGAACCTCCTAATTATTCAAGTTTTGGTTATATTTTTTCTTAATACGTCCACCATTAACGAGTACATGTACGATGAACAACAAACCTCCAAAATCAGTTCTAATTAACCGTTCTCACAGACATGTTTTCCAAATTTTGTTTACCCTTCATCAAGTATTATAATTCCAACGGATTGCTCAACCTAACTATAGATCGGTGAATTTTAAATTGATGTTAAACATGCTATTATTTTTATCATCAGTTGTTACCTAAATAAATGAGAATGTATAAACAAAGTTGCGAAATTCGTCGTATGCCGTTAA